GAGCTTTGATCAGGGCTCGCAGGACCAGCATTAAATCCCACTGCGGAGCAAGTGGGCGTGAAACAGGCCTGCGTCTCTGTACACCTTTTAAAAAACGATTCATCAGTGGATGATTAAAAGTTGTTCTGTCCCCGAAAACCTTTGTGACAAGAAGAGGTGGCTGCAGCGTACGTTTTAATCATGCTGAATGCCAGATTTCTGTCCATCAGCTGCTACAGAAAGGACAGCACGCCACCTAGTGGACATGAGGTGGCCTCTATACCTTTCTCCGTACAGCAGCACAGAAAAACTGTCCACTTTGATGTGTACAGCGCTGTGGTAGATGTAGCACGTGAATCCTGGATCGTACGCACTACATCTTGAGAGAGACCCATCCTCTCTAAGTGGATCCGCTCAGTGGCCAGACTCAAAGGTGCTGGCCTATTTCTGGGTAACTCTTGATCGCTCCTCCCGCCTGGAGGAGAGCATCCTCCCTCCACGGCAGTTTCTGTGGGCACCTTGATAACAGGTGTCGTAGAACTGAGAACCATGGGGCGTTCACGCGCTTGGGAGCCACCAGGAGAGCTGTCAGTCCCTCCTCCTGAACTCGGTTCAGAAACCGTGATATCAGAGGGAGTGGGGGAAATGTGTAAAGAAGCATTTTGGGCCACAGGCTGTGAGCAAATGCGTCCACCCCTAGCGGTGGTTTGTCCCGTGGGCTCAGTGAGAACCATAGTTGACATTGAGCATTCTCTCGTGTTGCAAATAGGTCCACAGCCGCTTTGTTAAATTTCTGCCATGTCTGAGCCATCAGCTCTGGATGGAGGGTCCAGTCCCCATGATGTTGACCGTCCCGGGACATCACATCCGCCCCCTGTTCAGAACACCGGGATTTACACTGCTCTGATGGAGAGCAGATTTTGGTGTGCCCAACACAGCAGTTGTCTCACAATGTGTAACATTTGGGCTGAGCGCGCACCCCCCGTCAGTTATGTATGCAACAGTCACTTGCTATCTGTGTGAGTCAACACATGATGATTCCGCAGCACAGAGGCAAAGTGTTGAATCACATTCAAAAACCGTGACACTCCAAAAACATTTATATGAGTTGTTGTGTGGGGTGGCCACAGTGCCCCCACAGCTCGAGAAATGCATGTGCCTCTGTGAAGTCTGACACGTGTGACGTAAGTCTGCTGACAGAAACAGCTGTTATCGCTCTGCTGGTTTCACGTGAGCTGCATTGCTGCCACCTGTCTGGAAAAGCAGGTCAGCAGCAACAGATGTCCAGATAAAGCAGAATTCTCCTCCCTGCTATGTGTAGCGGCTGCAGAGCGACTCGACGCATTTTGAATGGAAATGTCTCACAGTTCAAAATTGACAAATCTAAGATGAATCTCATCCTTCCGGTCCGTTTGGGACCAGGAAGTGACGAGAGTGGAACCCTGTGTTGTCCTCTCCTTCAGGGACCCTGGAAATTACATTTTTAATCTGAATTTCCTGAGCTTTTGTGTGTGGGGGGGGTTCTGTTCTAGAGATGACAGAAAACGTCTCTAGAGTTCCTCCAAACGGGGGTTTGAACTGTACTGCAGCATGAATCCCCCACTGATAAAAACAGTCCATCCATCTATCTGGAGCGCACACTTGCTGCCACTTCGCGTAACGTTCGGGAAGCGGGCACGCGTTTATGCTGCGTCACGTTATTTACGGATGCCAATCACCGCCGTCATGTGTGCCTCACTCAGGCTGCGGGCTCACATCCGTGCTGATGTGAGCTGGCATGTGCTGAGGGGAGGTGTGCGCGCCCCGAGCATGCAGAACCGATTTAGGACTGCCGCGGATGCGCAACGTTTCTGTGCCGCACGCAGACTGCGGGCTCACATCCATGCTGATGTGAACTGGCATGCGCTGAGGGAAAAAGCGTGCGCCCCTGAGCATGCAGGGCCGTGTGTGGGCTGCCGATGCTGCTGGGGCGCGGCGCCTCTGTGCTGTGCTCAAGCTGCAGGCTCACATCCATGCTGATGTGAGCTGGCGTGTGATGAGGGAAGGTGGGCGCCCCCGAGCATGCGGAACCGTGTAGGTTTAGGGCTGCTGCAGGTGCAGGTTTCTGTGCCGCGCACAGGCTGCGGGCTCACATCCATGCTGATGTGAGCTGGCGTGCGCTGAGGGAAAAAGCGCGCGCCCCTGAGCATGCGGGGCCGTGTGCGGGCTGCCGAGGCTGCGGGAGCGCAGCGCCTCTGTGCTGCGCTCAGGCTGAGGCAGCGCACAGCTTGGGCTGAGAGCGAGGTTTCCCACTGGACTCAGTCTGCTGAAAACATTCACTTTGACTGCTGTGTCGCTCACGCACGCATTTTGTCTGTTTTCTTGGGCTGCGGTGATTTAAACCCTGTTGGAGTACACCGGCTCGCTTGTGTGGAGGATGTGTGAGGAAAAGCTGCTGTGAGATCGTACGAACTGAAAGTCAAGCTGAAAACAGACACTTTAATTCCTGAATGATGTTTACGTTTTATTTCAAAAACTCATACCATCATTATGTACACCCATCCTCCACAATGAATCATTTTTAAATCTTGTCCCCCGTGAGCCCTGCATCTTGTTGGGATGAGGAGGGCTGTACTCTGACGGGAGGGGCTGGCGGCAGAGCAGAGCGAGAAGACGCTGCTGCAGCTGTGGCGCGTCGCTGCTGTCTCGGCCACGGCACTCTCTCCAGCAGGCGGGGGGGCGAGAGGAGGGATGCGACTTAATCAGATGGCGCACAGTCTCCGACACCTCCTCTGGCTTGAAAATTGGCTCAGAACAGTGCGTCCGTCGTGATGGGGCTTTCCAGTGAGTCCATTTGCAGCTTCTCCTGCAGGGAGGGCGAGTGACAAGCCAGGTAAACCTCTGAACCATTGTCATCCAGGCTGCGATGCGAGACAAGGCAGACAGCAGACGAGGTGCACAGGTTGAGGGTGATGCAGACGAGGTGCACAGGTTGAGGGTGATGTCAGACGCCTGCAGAGGGAGCTCCTCGTCTCCTGAGGCAGGTCTGAGCCTCTGAGATGCTGTACGTCAGCGGCGCAACAATATTGTTCGCTGCAGTCGCCTGGAACACATGTTGGTGAGCTTGGTTGGAGAGCGACGTCACCGTCTGGTCATGCCTCCCCGGAGGCGCAGGACGCTGGTCCAACCTGGACATCTTTGCTCCGAGAGCCTCCGCCAAGCTTGGCTCCGGGGGGGCACCGAGGGAATTTCCGCTCGGTAAAACCCCTCCACTCTGGTGATGGGCGCGGATGTGGAAACCGGTGCTCTCAGTCTACCAGGTCCGGCTGCAGCCTCATTCCAGTAGGACGTCACTGCTGGGACACGAGGCCAGATGGGATCAGGACGGCGAGCCGGAGTGGAGCCAAAAACCTTCCCACCAGATCATCCGATCAGGGCGGGGGAAGGAGAGGGATGGAAAACAAGTCCCTTCATGTCAGCCGCCTCCTGGATTATGCCGGGCAGCTCTAGAGGAGGGCACCGATGGCTGGGAGCGGTGTGGTTGCCAATGCGAAAAAGGTCCTAGGGGGGTGAGCATCTGCTCAGCTCCCCTCGTTCCGACACTACGCTCTCCAGGAGGGAGTGAGCAGCGGAGGCTGCTGCTGGCGTCGCCTGTTCCTGAGGAACCATTTTATTCGCTCCGAGAGTCGGCGATAAAAGTAAAAAAGGGTCGATGGCGTCGTCCAGCGGGTAGCGACCCGCCACTGAGAAATATTCCTCGCCTCTTACCTTGAAACAAGGCTGCTTGTCTGCTTCTCCTCAGGGAGGAGAACTCACCGGGACGGCAAGAGGTTGGTGTGGCGGGACCACAGGCAGCCTTAACAAAGGTTGTGCTGGTCAAGCTGGACAACTTCCCTTCTTCGTTCTTCTGACAGTGCTATTAGCTTGCTGAAGAAAAATGGGAGCCGATTACCCACTCTTAACGTAATTTATACGGACCGGGTGGGGCCCACACAACAGGTAGACGTGGACTAAATTTTTTCAGTGCGATGCTTTGCATGACGGGATAAAACCCATCAGCCACAGCCTTAAAGGGTAAAGCCTATACAAAATAGAACTTAGCACCCCATGGTAGACAGCATCCAACATCTGCAAGGTGCTTGCAGAAGCATTCATGTAAATAATGTCACCACAGCCAATAGAAGGAAGGAAAGTAGCAGTTACAAGTTTTTTTCCTAGCATTCAGACTTGGACAGAATCTATTTCTGAAGAAGAAACCCAGACCCAACTTTGACAAAAAGCATACAAAAACACGGAACAGAGTCCACTTTGTCATTATTTCTCATCTTCTAACTCTTATTTATAGTGAAGTCAAAGAGGCAAGAGGTCCAGGAGAGAATCCCAGATATCCCTCTCTCCAGAGACACTCACCACTTCCTCCAGGGGCACCCCGAGATGTTCCTAGGCCAAAGAAGATGAACAATCCCTCCAGAGTTCTGGATATGGTCCTGGACCCCCTACCAGTGGAAAATGCCCAGAAACCCCCCTCCAAAGGGAAGCGAAACACCTCACCTGACTCATTTGGATGCAGAGGAGCAACAGCTCTCCTCTGAATCCACCCCCCCGGATGACAGAGCTACTCAATCTACTGTATCTCTAAGGCTTTAACGTCTGTGGGAGGAAACCGGAGTACCCGGAGAATACCCCCACAAAGCAAACAAGCAAACTCCACCCAGAAAGGCCCCTGGACTGGGATTTGAACCAAAGCAACCTACTCGCTGAGAAGCGGGCAGCTTTACCAACTGTGCTACCCCCCACAATGACATTATTTATTATATGACAAAAAAAAAGCCAAAATGGAAAAGTTGTATAAAAAAAAAAACTAAGAACACCTCATAATTTAAGATCTTGTTGTACCAGTTGAAATCTAATACTACCTGCCGAGGCTTCCTCGTGTCTCCATGAAGCTAAACAACCAATATCGGCATGAAGGACTAAATTTGCTTTCAAAGATTGATAGTTGTGGTTTTATGTGAGAACAGGGTTTATTTCATATGTTCTACCTTGAAGCGCAGAGTTCCTCTGATAAGTGTATGAGCAGTCTGGATGCCGTAGGGTTTGGAGTACTTAGTGCTGTCACGGTTCGGAAATCCTTCCAGGTTGAAACCGGGGAAAAAATCCATATCTGTGGTGGAGTCCATCAAAGACCCACCAGCTGGGACACTCACCACCTGAAAGAAGAAGAAATACTTTTGACACATTCTGGGAGAAAAGTTGTATCTATCTGGCTGCAACTACTGGAGATAATGAGTGACTCAAAACTGTTAGAAACAGACAAAATTTGTTGCAAATCCACTGAATCCTGAGTGCTTGCAACCAAGTGAGCAGCAAGCCAAGTGGCCATGTTTAAACTGGCCAATTTTTTAAATCTTGGGTTATTGTCATGAGCACATCTCACAACAAGGTGTTTTGATCCACACATACATCATCACCCACATCATACCCAGCTTGGCAGTCGCCCCACGTTTATGATTTAATCTACAGGAGTACACTTTCAAAACGAAGACCAGAAGCTTAAAATGTATTTATCATCTATATGGTTTTAAGAGCTGGCCAGTGGAGGTAAATTCTTTCAGTCAGAGGAGAGCTTCACTGCAGGTGTCACTTGAAATGGGAACACCTGTGACCAAACCGAGGTTAAAGAGATAAGAGATGTCAGCGATGAGTCCAACTTTATCAGAATAAAATATGTTGCAGAAATGTTTTGAACCTTTTAAAACTCAAGCGACAAGGCTGGCCTCTGATACTTGAGCAAGGTAACTGAGAATCCCAAAGATAAATTGGACAGTCTCTTACAGGTGCAGTTTGTCAGCTAGATAAAACAGTTACAGCCCAGTGAGATACTAACTTAGGTCTCATTTCACTCAAAAGAGTGGTTACTACTGAAACATCAATTCCAAATTAATTAGGATGTTGTGTAAAATGTAAATTAAAACAAAATTTAATTATTTGCTAATGTCATAAACCAATATTTTATTCATACCGGAAAAAAGTAAACCAATCAAATGTTTGTACTACATTAACAAAAGAAAAAAAACAAAATTTTAGTTGGGACAGGACCAGGTCTGTGAAGCCCCCTCTTCTTATAGTTGATTAATAATAATTAAGAGTTTATAAACTTCTATAGTACTGAGGAAACCAGTTATTGGATGTCCTGGAGGACCTAAGGAAACCAGTTATTGGAGGTTTCACAGGACCTCTGGTTGTTGTTCTGTTGAAAAATGAATCATCTCCCCAGTTCCATGATGTCTCTGTACATTGCTGCATTCATCTTCCCTCTATCCTGACTAGTCTGCCAGTTCCTGCTGCTGACAAACATCCCCATAGCATGATGCTGCCACCACGCTTCACTGTAGGGATGGTACTGACCTGGTGATGAGCCGGTTTCCTACAAACATGACACCCGTAATTCAGACCAAATAGTTCAATCTTTGTCTCATCAGACAAGAGCATTTTGTTTCTCATGGTTTTAGAGTCCTTTAGGTGCCTTTTGTCAAACTCCAGACGGGCTGTCATGTGCCTTTTAACTGCCAAACGGTTGACCACAATTTGAGTCACTAAATTTAAAAGAAGGGAGTGCCTAACCTAACTCAAATGGTTTGAGCCATCTCTACCACTAGCATGAAGTATGTAATGCTAAAAAAATCCACCAGATGGCACAGTGACAGTAAATGGTAGGTTTGTCTTTCTTTCCTCCAACCAGGAAGTAAAAAAACAAAATCAAACATTCATCAAGACTGTTTGCGGGTAAACTTTGAAAATATGGATTATTTTAAACTTATTTTGGTGATAAAGGCCTTCATAAACAGAATTATGACCCTTGATGCAGCACACAAACTCAAATTATATATATATATATATATATATATATATATA